GCTAGATGAGCAGGTTACCTAAGATAGATTGTACACAAATTTCTATTTAATGGAAAAGAGCCTAAGGAAAAAGGCATTCAGTCAAAACTTGTTATGGTATAAGAGCCACTTTGTTTTTTTTTCTGGGAAATTTTCAGAGATTTTGGTTTTTCATTTTTTTATTAACAACTTCGTTGGGGAATTTGGGTCAATTACATAGTGGTTGAATATTTTTTTTTTTGGGAGAAGATAGAAGCTTTCTTCTAGTTAGAATGTCTGCTGCAGATCATGTCGGAAAATTGCCTGTAGCAACTTTGAGTTTCAAATTTACAGGGAATAACTATGGTGCTTGGGAATTTCAGTTTAGAATGTTTCTGGAAGGAAAGGAACTCTGGAATCACATTGATGGAACATCTCCTCCTCCTAAAGAAGCTAGTGAACTCAGTCAATGGGAGAGTAAGGATGCCAAAATTATTTCTTGGATTCTAGCATCCATTGAAAGTCATATGGTCAACAGCCTACGATCATTTCGCACAGCTAAACAGATGTGGGATTTCTTGAAGCGTGTATACAATCAAGAAAATACTGCTCGGCAACATCAACAATTTTGGCCAAGCCAATCTTTCCCTTGATTAGTATTATTCTGGTTTTATAAATCTTTGGAGTGAATATTCTGATATTCTCTATTCCAGCGTATCTAATGAGGCATTGGCAAGCCTTCAAGAGGTTCATGAAGTGAGCAAGCGTGATCAGCTTTTGATGAAGCTGAGACTAGAATTTGAGAGCGCCAGGACAGGTTTATTGAATCGAAGTCCAGCACCGACATTAGATGTTTGTCTTGGTGAACTACTTCGTGAGGAACAACGATTGGCTACTCTTGCTGTCATGGGGGGGGTCAAAAGAAACATCTCAGGTTCTCAATGTTGCTTTTGCTGGTCAAGGGAAGAATCGAGAAAAGGGTTTCGTTCAGTGCTACAGTTGCAAAGAGATGGGACATATAGCTCGCAATTGTACCAAGAAATTCTGCAACTAATTCAAGCAAAATAGACACATCATTAAAGAGTGTCTAACAAGGCCAGAAAATCAAAAAGCACAAGCCTTTCAAGCTACTTTTTCAGGTTCTCAAGTTCTTGGTTCTGCAGCAAATATCAAAAATCAACCCGTTATGACTCCAAAAATGGTCCAACAAATTATTTGTACTGCATTTTCTGCTCTTGGACTCCAAGGTCAAGGTAAAATGATCTCTTCTAACTGGTTTTATGATTCTGCAGCATCTAATCATATGACTGATTCTCCTAAGCTTCTACATAACCTTCGGAAATCTACTGGCACGCAAAATATTCAGGTTGCTAATGGCAATAACATTCCAATAATAGCCATTGGTGATATTGGTCCTTCTTTCCGTGATGTGTTTGTCTCGCCTGAATTATCTAGTAACTTGATTTCTGTTGGACAATTGGTGGATGATGACTGTGAAGTGCATTTTTCTCGAAATGGTTGTTTTGTGCAGGATCAAGTGTCGGGGAACGTGATAGCGAAGGGGCCTAAAGTTGGAAGATTATTTCCATTGCAGTTTACTGCTTCACAAGCTTTATGTTTAGCTTCTATGGTAGTTGATAATAAGGTGGAAAGCTGGCATAAACGATTAGGCCACCCAAATGATGTAATTTTATCTCATTTAATGAAACAAGGTTTTCTTGGTTCCAAGGATAAGTGTCTAAATTCTGGTTTGTCTAATGGTTGTTCTACCTGCAAACTAGGGAAGAGTAAGATTTTACCTTTTCCTAGTGATGGAAGTCGTGCAAATAGATGTTTTGATCTAGTACATTCTGATGTTTGGGGCATTACACCTGTTACTTCACATGCTCAGTATAAATTTTTTGTGACGTTTATAGATGACTATAGTCGCTTCACATGGATATATTTTCTGCGCACAAAATCTGAGGTGTTGAATGTTTTCCAAACTTTTCTGGCTTATGTTGAGAGGCAATTTTCGTCTTGTATCAAGGTACTTCGCTCGGATAATGGTGGTGAATATACATCACATGAGTTTCAATCGTTTTTGCAGCAAAAAGGTATCATGTCTCAGCGTTCATGCCCTTATACCCCTCAACAAAATGGGGCAGCTGAACGAAAAAATCGTCACTTGTTGGATACGGTTAGAAAATTATTGTTGCAATCTTCAGTTCCGAGTAAATTTTGTGTAGAAGCGTTGTCCACTGCAGTCTATTTGATCAATCGATTGCCCTCTCAACAACTGACTTTTTATTCACCATTCTACCGTTTGTTTGGAATACATCCTGATTACTCTAAGTTGTATACTTTTGGCTGCATTTGCTTTGTTTATTTGCCTTCTCATTAGCGTCACAAACTTGCAGCTCAGTCTGTTAAGTGTGCTTTTATGGGATATAACACTGCTCACAAAGGTTTCTTGTGCTATGATGTTGTAGCTCATCGTATACGGATTTCTCGCAATGTCATTTTCTTTGAAAACGAGTTTTATTTTCAACAGCTCATCTCTCCTTCCAGCAGGGTTATCCTTTCTAGTTTTGATGACAGCCATCAAGTTCAACAGCCAACAACTGAGCGTTTTAAACCCGACATTGTTTACCAGCGACGCCATTCTTCTACACAAGTTCAACATCTTGATCCATCTACATCTATTCTTCGTAGATCTTCTCGCATCAGCCACCCTCCTGAACGGTATGGTTTTTTTGTCGTTCTAGCTGATACTAGCGTACCTACCTCTTACTCTCAGGCCAAAACACAAGTATGCTGGATAAAGGCTATGGAAGAGGAACTACAAGCACTACAAGAGAATCATACTTGGGATATCGTTCTTGTCCTACTGGTGTTAAACCTATCGGATGTAAGTGGGTATATTCTCTTAAATTACGATCTGATGGCATGCTTGACAGACATAAAGCAATTGGTAGCTCTTGGGAACAGACAGGAGTATGGGGTTGACTATGTGGAGACATTTGCTCCAGTAGCGAAGATGGCAACTGTGAGGCTTGTTCTAGCTATTGCTGCTTCTAAGGGCTGGTCGTTGAGGCAAATGGATGTTAAGAATGCTTTTCTACATGGAGATCTTAAAGAAGATATTTACATGCTTCCACCACCAGGATTATTCTCTACACCATCTTCTGATGTTTGTAAGCTTAAGCGTTCACTCTATGGATTAAAACAGGCTCCCTGTGCTTGGTTTGATAAGTTTCCATCTACACTTCTTAGCTTCTCTTTTGTTCAGAGTTGCTATGATTCCTCTTTGTTTCTTTGCAAGACTGCAAAGGGCAATGTCATGCTCTTGGTATATGTTGATGACATTGTCATTACAGGGACAGACACTCAATTGATTTCCCAACTTCAAGACCGACTTCAGAGTGCTTTTCATATGAAAGACTTGGTTCTTTACAGTATTTTTTAGGTCTTGAAGTGCAATCTACCTCAACTGGCACTTTCCTACACCAGCATAAATACATTAAAGATTTGGTTGCTTTGGCTGACCTTCAACAATGTCGTTCAGTTGAAACTCCATTGGAAGTCAATGTCAAATATCGACGTGATGATGGTGATTTTTTGCCAAATCCTTCTTCATATCGACCACTTGTTGGTATCCTAAACTATCTGACTATTACTCGACCAGATATTTCTTTTGCAGTTCAACAAGTTAGTCAGTTTATGCAAGCACCTACCACTCTTCACTTGGCTGTTGTTCGTCGCATCATTCGGTATCAACAAGGCTCGTCTACTCGTTGTCTTTTCTTCTCAGACAATTCTTCCACACAATTAGTTGCATACAGTGATGCTGATACGTGACGTTCTGTCACTGATTGGTGCATGTTTCTTGGTAACTCTCTTGTTTCTTGGAAAAGCAAGAAACAAGATCGCGTGTCTAAGTCATCTACTGAGTCTGAATATCGAGCTATGTCCACTGCGTGCTCTGAAATAATTTGGCTTCGTGGGTTACTAGGTGAGCTTGGATTTACCCAAACTAAACCTACTCCGCTTCATGCTGATAACACTAATGCTATTCAAAAAGCTGCTAATCCGGTGTTCCATGAACGCACTAAGCATATCGAGGTAGATTGTCATTCTATTCGTGAAGCATACGATGATTCTATCATCTCTCTTCCACATATCCCCACAGCTCTTCAAACTGCAGATGTTCTTACTAAAGCACTTTCTTCGAATCGACATCAGTTCCTAGTTGACAAATTGATGCTTTGTGACCATCCAGTATCAATTTGAGGGGGGATAACAAGGCAGAAATTATGGAGTAACTTATGGCTGACCCTTAATTGTAAAAGAGTAACTTATGGCTGACCATTAATTGTAAATATTCAGTTATATGTTTTAGGATTAAATAGGGCAGTAGACTAGGAGCTAGATGAGCAGGTTACCTAAGATAGATTGTACACATATTTCTATTTAATGGAAAAGAGCCTAAGGAATAAGGCATCCAATCAAA